TACGACATAGAGCTTATTTTATTATTAATATAGGCCACACACGTGGGTTTGAAACTAAATATAAGCATTTTCATCGTGGATTTATTTATTACAATCATAGGCCTATTCTTTCACTATCATAACACATTAAGGCCCTTCTTTTAGGTAAAACGATCTATCTTAATTTTTCTTTCTCAAGTTTGGGACTATTATGTGTTTAAATAACTTGGAAGGGCAAAGGAGGGCAAGCACAAGCTTTAATCCTAACAAATGCGCGCGAAAATTTTTTGTATTTTTAATTCTAATTTCGTCGAAATTGATCAAAACTCCCTAAATGTGCAATTTTTAGAGGGAATTGGCCTACCTCAACAAGAAATGCTCTTATGTTATATAAGGCCACACTGGTTTTTTTAAACTGAATATAAGCATTTTCCTTATGGCTTTACTTATTACAAACATATTCTTTCAACATCATTACACATTGAGGCCCCTCTTTTAGGTAAAACGATCTACCTTAAATTTTCTTTCTTGAGTTTGGGACTATGTGTTATAACTTAGAAGGCAAAGGAGAGCAAGCAGAAGCTTCAACATTAAAAAATGCGCGCGAAAAATTTTTGTTTTTTTAATTCTAATTTCGTCGGAATTGATCTAAACTCCCTAAAATGTGCAATTTTTAGAGGAAATTGGCCTACCTCCACAAGAAATGCTCTTGTGTTATATATGGCCACACTCGTTTTTTTTAAACTGAATATAAGCATTTTCCTTATGGCTTTATTTAACACAAACATATTCTTTCAACATCATTACACATTGAGGCCCTTCTTTTAGGTAAAACGATCTATCTTAAATTTTCTTTCTTGAGTTTGGGACTATGTGTTATAACTTAGAAAGCAAAGAAGAGCAAGCAGAAGCTTTAACATTAAACAATGCGCGCGAAGCGCGTGAAAAATTTTTGTTTTTTTAATTCTAATTTCGTCGGAATTGATCAAAACTCCCTAAAATGTGCAATTTTTTAGAGGAAATTGGCCTACCTCAACAAAATATGCGATTTAAAATTTGAGATTTTCTTGCACTTTCCCGGGTTCAAGGTTCAAGGTTTTCCCCTCTTGAAATAGTTCAGGTAAATTTTTCTCATTTTTTATTTTATGTGTGTATACATACATACATAAACAAATGAGTAGTTGCATGCGTATTCTTTTTCCCATGAATCGATAAATCCCAAAAGAAAGGGTGGTCCGGGGGTTCTCCCCTGGGAAAATTTTGATTCCTAGATGGGGGAATTGAGCTTTCCCGACATTTGAAGCGTGTTTTTATGAATTTTATGTTCTTCAAAATTCGAATTTTCTAATAGCAAAAAAAAAAAAAAAAAAAAAAAAAAAAAAAATCAGCTCACGGGGCATGAAAAGGTAGGTTTAGAATTTCTTTTTTTTTTCCCTTTT